CCTGAGCTAACATCTGTTGCCAATCCTCCTCTTTTTGCTGAGGAAGATTGGCCCTGGGCTAACATCCATGCCCATCTTCCTCTACTTTACATGTGAGACGCCTGCCACAGCATGGCTTGATAAGCGGTGCATTGGTCCGCACCCGGATCTGAACCTGCAAATCCTGGGCAGACAAAGCAGAGCATGTGAACTCAACCACAGTGCCACAGGGCTGGCCCCTCTAGATTCATTTTTTTGCATGTGGATGTCAGTTTTCCCAGAACCATTTGTTGAAAAGATTATCTTTGCTCCATTGTATTGCCTTTGCTCCTTTGTCAAAGATCAGTTGATTCTATTTAGGTGGAACTATTTCTGGGCTCTCTATTCTGTTCCATTGATCTATTTTTTTAATTGAATAAATTTGACATGTAACATTGTGTAAGTTTAGGATGTACAGCATGTTACTTTGTTACATTTATATATTGTAATATGATTGTCAACATACTGATATTTATCACATTACATAATTATAGTACTATATTATTGTTTATACTGTGCATTAGATCTCTAGGCCTTACTTACTACTTGTTACAAGTTTGTACTCTTAAACACCATCATTCTTATCCTCCCGCCATCCCCTGGTAACACCATTTTACTCTCTGTTTTTTACAGGCTTAACCTTTTTTAGATCCCACATATAAGTGACATCATACAGTACTTGTCTTTCTCTGTCTGACTTATCTTGCTTAACATAAGGTATTTGAGGTCCATCCACATTGTCACAAATGGAAGGATATCCTCCCTTCTCATGACTGAATAATATTCCATTGTGTATATGTACCACATCTTTTTTATCTATTCATCTGTTGATGGGTATTTGGGTTGCTTCCATATCTTGGCTATTGTGAATAATACTGTGATAAACATGAGAGAGTGCATGTTTGAAAACTTGTTGTGCATATCTTTTTGAAATCCTATTTTCATTTCCTTTGGGTATAGACCCAGAAGCAGAATTGCTGTATCGTATGGTAGATCTATTTTTAATTTTTCAAGGAACTTCCATCTTGTTTTCCATAGTGTTTGGACCAATTTACAGTCCCACCAAAAATGTGTACGTGTTCCCTTTTCACCACAGCCTCTACAGCACCTGTTGTCTCTCATCTTCTTGATGATAGCCATTCTAACAGGTGTGAGGTGATACCTCACTGTGGTTTTGATTTGTGTTTCTCTGATAATTAGTGATGTTGAGCATCTTTCCATGGGTCCGTTGGCCATTTTTGTATCCTCTTTGGAAAAATGTCTATTTAGTTCTTCTGCTCGTTTTTTAAATTGAATTGATTTTTTTGTTGTTGTTATTAAGTTGACTGAATTCTTTATATATTTTGGATATTAACCGTGTATCCAATATATGGTTTGCAAAACCTTCCTCCCATTCTGTAGGTTGTCTTTTTATTTTGTTAGTTGTTTCCTTTGTTGTGCAGAAGCTTTTGAATTTGATATAGTCCCATCTGTTGATTTTTGCTTTTGTTTTTCATGCTTTAGCATCATGTAAAAAAAATCATTGCCAAGACCAATACCAATAAGCTTCTTCCATATGTTTTCTTCTAGTAGCTTTATGGTATCAGGTCTTATGTTTAAGTCTTTGATCCATTTTGAGTTAATTTTTGTGAGTCATGTGAGATAGGGGTCCAATTTCATTGTTCTGCATGTGTTTCTCCAGTTTTCCCAGGACCATTTGTTAAAGACACTCTATTTATCTGTCTATTCTTTTGCCACTACCACACTGTTGTGGTTGCTGTACCATTATAGGGAGTCTTGAAACTTTGTTCTTTTCTCCAACTTTGTTCTTTTCCCTTACTAATGTGTTGGCTATTCTGGATCTTTTGCCTCTCCATATAAACTTTAGAATCAGCTTGCCAATATCCACAAAATAACTTGCTGGAATTTTTATTTGGATTGCATTGAATCTGTAGATCAAGTTGGGAGGAACTGATGTCTTGGCAATATTGAAGCTTCCCATTCATGAACGTGGAATATCTTTCCATTTATTTATGTCTTCTTTGATTTCATTTATCACAATTTTGTAGTTTTCCTCGTATAGATCTTGTACATATTTTGCTAGATTTATACCTAAGTATTTAATTTTGGGGGATGCTAATGTAAATGATACTGTTTTTAATTTAAAAATCCACTTGTTCATTGTTGGTATATAGGAAAGTGATTGACTTTTGTATATTAACTTTGTATCCTTTAACCTTGCTGTAATCCCATAGTAGTTCCAGGAGTTTTTGTGTGTGTGTCAATTCTTTCAGATTTTCTCCATAGGCAATCATGTCATATGTGAACAAAGACATTTTTATTTCTTCCTTCCCAATCTTTATACCTTTTATGTCCTTTTCTTGTCTTATTTAATTAGCAAGGACTTCC